TCTGTGCTCGTTACAGTGGTTCTTAATTGCGTGAGTTACTTTCTTAGCGTATGCAGCTACCTTTTAGGTCACACAGAAAAACACACTAGACTCCGTTTCCAGCATTTGAGCAGATTTGCATCTCCTCCTCCTGTGTGGGAACGCAGATTACTGATGCGCTCCAGCTATGGCACAGCGCGCGCTCCTCTCTCCACAGACGTGCTCGTGCCAGCGCACAGCCGTAAAAACCCCTCACTACACACCTTATGGTGCCCAATCCTGGTCCTCAAGATCCCCTATCCAGCTTGTTTTATATCTCACCCTGCTTATTCAGAGGCTAGACCCTCAGGCTCTGTAGAACACTGCTAATCACCACTGATTCAAATTAGGTGTGTTCAAACAGGGAAACTTCTTAGACATGCTGGATAGGGGCTCTCAATGACCAGGATTGGGCACCCCATGCACTTTTTTCAGTTATGCATTAACGTTTTCACTTTTCTCTTGTCTTGAAACATTTTCAAAGTTCAAACCTCTAGACGCAGAACACACACGAAGTGCTGAAAAATTAAAAAAAACGCACGCATAATGGAACTAAAAACAAGTGAAAGGTGAACCGTTACTGCACTGATGTTTGCTGATATTGGTTTGGGTTTTTCTGTGGTGTCACGTGTGCATTGTTCCATTTCGTTTTTGGTTTCCGTTACATTTTAGGAGATGTTCTTGGAGGGTGGTTCTGTTTCTGTTGATAAACACTCAGGTGTCAGATATGTTGTCTGAAGAGCTGCAGAGCATCAGTTCCCTTGCCAACGCACGGTTCAGTGTGGATTCTGGAAGTTTTGACTTGTTACTTGTGGGGTTTTCCCAGTGTTGATGGTAATGAGCTGCTGTTGTGTTGGAGAATGAACCAAGAATCATTAAGGCAGGGGTTCCCAACCCTGGGACTGCCCCTGATGTCCACGCGATATTGCTTGTCTGGAAGGCCAGGGCTCCCGGTCGCAGCGGTCTGGCGCTGCTTGTAATTTAACAGTCCCGGTCCATATTAGATCTCACATTCAGCCTAGAGACAAGTCCGCGGGCGGCAACACCCCCCACCCCTCTCCCAGCACAGCCCCACAACATCCAGAGCCTTAAGGAACTCCGGGCGGATCTCATCCACCCCTGGAGCCTTGCCACAGAGGAGCTTTTTAACCACCTCAGTGACCTCAGCACCAGAGATTTGAGAGGCCAACCCAAAGTCCCCAGACTCTGCTTCCTCACTGGAAGACGTGTCGGTGGGATTGAGGAGGTCTTCGAAGTATTCTGCCCACCGATCCACAATGTCCTGAGTGGAGGTCAGCAGCACACCGTCCCGACTATAGATAGTGTTGGTAGCGCACGGCTTTCCACTCCTGAGGTACCAGATGGTGGACCAGAATCTCCTCGAAACCATACGGAAGTCTTGCCCCATGGTCTCACCGAACTCCTCCCATGCCCGGGTTTTTGCCTTGGTGACCACCCGAGCCGCGTTCCGCTTGGACTGCCGGTACCCGACAGCTGCCTCTGGAGTCCCACAGGCCAAAAAGACCTGATAGGACTCTTTCTTTAGCTTGACAGCATCCCTAACCGCCGGTGTCCACCAGCAGGTTTGGGGGTTGCCACCACGACAGGCACAGACGATTCTGCCACCACAGCTCCAGTTGGCCACTTCAACAATGGAGGCATGAAACAGGGTCCATTCAGACTCAATGTCCCCCGCCTCCCCGGACTATTTTGTAAGTTCTGTCGAAGGTGGGAATTGAAGCTCCTTCTGACAGGAGACTCTGTCAGACGTTCCCAGCAGATTTTGGCAATACGTTTGGGCCTGCCTGGTCTGATCGGCATCCTCCCCACCATCTGAGCCAACTCACCACCAGGTAGTGGTCAGTTGACAGCTCCGCCCCTCTCTTCACCCGAGTGTCCAAGACATGCGGCCGCAGGTCAGATGAAACAACAACAAAGTCGATCATCAAGCTGCAGCCTAAGGTATCCTGGTGCCAAGAGCACATACGGACACCTTTATGTCTGAACATGGTGTTCATTATGGACAATCCATGACTGGCACAGAAGTCCAATAACATGCCACTTGAATTCAGATCAGGGGGCCGTTCCTCCCAACCACACCTCTCCAGGTCTCAATGTCATTGCCCACGTGGGCGTTAGAGTCCCACAGCAGACCGAGGGAGTCACCAGAAGGAGCACTTTCCAGCACCCCCTTCAAGGTCTCCAAAAAGGGTGGGTAGTCTGATCTATAGTTTGGTGCATTAGCACAGACCACAGTTAGAACCCGTCCCCCCAATCATAGGCGGAGGGAGGCTACCCTCTCATTCACTGGGGTAAACCCCAACGTACAGGCACCAAGATGGGGGGGGGCAACTAGTATGCCCACCCCTGCTCGGCGCCTCTCAGTTGGAGCAACTCCAGAGTGGTAGAAAGTCCAACCCCTCTCAAAGAAACTGGTTCCAGAGCCAGAGCAGTGCATTGAGGTGAGTCCGACTATATCTAGTCGGAACCTCTCAACCTCTCACACCAACTCAGGCTCCTTCCCCACCAGAGAGGTGACATTCCATGTGCCAGAGTCTAACCCTAACCCAATTATTCCACTAATGATATTTTATTACAGCAATGATGAATATATATTTAGTAATACAGTAATAAGAAGCCTACATTTTAATTATTAAACCTCCAAATAAGACATTTATGTCACAGCCAGAAAAGACGTCGGTTGGTGGCCGCCTGGGGCCCCCTTGTGTTGGGGGGCCCCCTAGCCCTGACCGCCGGCACCCCTCTCTTAATGCCACAATGAATTATTCCTTTAAGATGCCAATGCACAAACAGGAAGTGATTGGTAGTCATTCCATTCCAAGTGCCATAAGACCACAAATAAGAAGAAGAAAGGCAGGAGCATTCGTAACAAACCTGAAGCGGTAGTCACAACATTAAGCATGAAATGGAGTTATCCTAGTGGCTCCATTAAGAGAAAGAAGCAGCTTGCTTCAAAAAAGCTTTTATCTTCACTTCTGAAAGTGACGTCGTTTTTCTATGTAAACATCAAAAGGAAGCAGAAAGGAAAGACAATGGAACATGTTTAAAGGCAGGAAAACATAGACCAAAATGGAAAAAAAAAGAAAGGCAAAAGCACAGGAACTCTGACAGGAAGAAGAAAGCAGAGCAAATATTGAAGGCACTCAAAGGGAGAGAATGACAGGAAAAAAGAGGAGGACGGTCCACAGTTGGTGATCTGCAGAACATTAGCTACATGGTAACCCAAAGCTAACAGTGTTTTTCCAGGCGTTTTTAGCAAGATAAATGCGGTAGAACGATGACGTAGGAGTTTGTTTTACCGCGTAAGCATGTAGCTTATGTCCCGCTGATCTCCGCTGGTCAAGAATGAGCTTGTCTGGAAGGCCAGGGCTCCCGGTCGCAGCGGTCTGGCCCTGCTTGTAATTTAACAGTCCCAGTCCATATTAGATCTCACATTCAGCCTTGAGACAAGTCCGCGGGCGGCAACACCCCCCACCCCTCTCCCAATGGGGAGGGCCGACTGAGGGCCAACGACTCATAAAAATGCCAGGGCCGAATTTTGATCCCAGTCCACTCCGGTTGTTCTTGTGATTGGCTATAGACATTATATGGTAGCCAGCGCCACTCGGGCACTACGTTGCACGTCCTCCAATCAGCTCAAAATATTCTACCAGATGGCCCTCCCTCTTTCAAATGGTTTCTGCTGCAGAGATTCCAGATCGAAATGTGTAGATGTGACACGGGGCAGGGCTACACCCTGAGATATGGCTGCTGCCAGGTTACATTGTTGATTCGTGTCACTTTATTTTTTGTAAGTGAGAGAAATGCAAGACATCTTCAGAGGATTTTGGCAACCAAGTGAGGGTGAGCAGCAAACAAATTCAGACAAGATTAAGCCAGTTTTGTGGAATCTTTTTGCAATTGTATCAGATGCCTCACTTGACCCAACCATAGTTCAAAAGTAGCCTTTCGCTGTCATTCACAACTTTGCAGTTTTATAATAGTTTTGTGTCACCGATGGTCACGGCTCCTGACAACAAACTGCCAAACTACGAGAACAAGCAAATCGGTGTCAATAGCCGCTCAGTTTTAGAGACAACAAGGAGCATCTTCGCTCAAACAGGAGTCGTAAAATTTGTTGAAGTTTTTCTGTTTTTTCAAGCATATGTTTTACATTTTATAAATGCAGTTAAATCCATGTGATCCCAACATATGGGATATGGCCAAACACCCCCCGGTCAGGCAGCTAATCTGTAAATGTGTATTTAAAACTACAATAACTAAGAAACCATATAATGATGGAAAAGGAAGAGCTCTCTTTAAAAACCTCCTAAATAAGGGCATCAAACACTTTCTTGTCTATGTTTCAAACAGTAAAAACCTGCAGAAGCATTTGATATGAGAGGAATTTATGATGCTGATATCTACCACTGCCACAATTCTTTGTGATCGGCTTATGGGACAATAAATGTGCATCCTAAGGTAGCACACTTTATTGTCATCTGATAACGGATGGTATCAGCCCGCTGCATACGTAGATCACCCCTTTTCAAACACTAAACCTTCAGAAGAAGAAGAAGGTTCAAAGCAAACAACGCGTCACAGATAACTCCGGGGTTACGAACGGCCCGTTTCAGAAAAACACAACTGCAGGTTCTGAGAGCTCTGTGTCGACTACAAATGTTGCTCTTAGCCTTAAAATGAAGAGGTTAGTTGGGCTGAAAAGCACGGAGACCGGTCAGGTTGTTGTGCGGCTGCTTTAGGGCTTACTTCCTGACCTTCACACAATTATCCCGTGCTCTGCCTTCCAGCCAAGTGTACCTAATAATACCAAATCTTGATCTTTGACTGCTGATCACAAATCTGTAAGTGAGGCCTGAAGAGACAATAAGTGCAACTCATGCTGGTGGCGGCAAGGTGCAGAAACTTTGACCTGACCCTAAGTTAGAGTTCTTCAGCTGCACTGAGCGTATTATCCTTACCTCGAGGGTTGCTGAGTGCAGCTTCAGTGGCCTTCCTGCCCTCTCCACAGTGGCTCTGGTCAAAGGGTAAACACTGCTCCCCTGTCCCGGCCACCACCTCGAGGTTGCGCGCCGGATCCTTTGGCTGGACGAGATTCCTGACACGGTAAACTCTTCGACTGCTAGTGTCGGACACGTAGAGGACCTCACCCACTGGATCCATGGCCAGATAGTACTTATGGGCTGGGCTGGTGCTTAGAAAAAGAAAGACAATGTTAAATGAAACAAAAATTTATGTAAGTATTCACTCATTCATTTCAGCTTTTCACTGTATTCTCTGATCAGTGCAGTGAAAACTCCTGAACTTTGAAGTTTTCCTGTGAGAGGACTCCATTTTTAGTAAACTGCAGTCACTTTCATGACTACACGACACCATCAGTTGAAAGGAAAATATCTAGAGGCAATCAGGTCATCTCAGTGAACAACATCAGAATGAGATGCTGCCTGTGTTGAAGCAACAAGATTAATGTTTTCTCAGATGCATTTCATAGATGACCATGCTTTCTGCAGCACGTGATCCCATTCTGTGGTTTTATGCACGTTAGAAACACTCGAAATGTAATTAGAAAAGTATCAGATGAAAATAAATCTGTAATTAAAAAGTAGCAATAGGATGTTGAGCCAAACTAGCTACACTATACAGTCATTCAATTATGAAGAGGTGTTTTTTTCTACCAATGATGAAATAGCACTGCTGAACTGAGTACCAGTTCTCTATGGCTTTACTTAACTAAACTCCACTTACAACTTTAAATAACTTTTAAATTGAAGTATATTGGCTTAATGTTAATTAAGAAATAGTCAAAGGGTCTCTGCCTATTATTATAGCAGATGGTATCTCATAACTATGAGATACCATCTGATTATTAAGACTTAGCTAAGTCATAATTATGATAGTATCTGAAAAAGTATCTCAGATACTATCTCATAATGTTGAGATAGTATCTCATTATTATGAGATAGCTAAGTCATAATTATGAAATGAAAATTATTATTTTATTAATCAAAGTGGCTTAAATGGGCTTCCATTTACAGGTCCTTCTCAAAAAATTAGCATATTGTGATAAAGTTCATTATTGCCTGTAATGTACTGATAAACATTAGACTTTCATATGTATTAGATTCATTACACACAACTGAAGTAGTTCAAGCCTTTTATTGTTTCTAATATTGATGATTTTGGCGTACAGCTCATGAAAACCCAAAATTTCTATCTAAAAAATTTGCATATCATGAAAAGAACTCTCTGATCAGACAACAGTTTTTGAGGGATCTCCAAACAGAGACGCTCCCTGGCGGTAAGGCGTTTCCTGTTTCCTGTTTTCAGTGGCTGTGTCTCAATTCAGGGTCTGCATCCTTTGAAGGACCCAGTCTACTCGGCCGACGTGGGCTGGGTCCTCCGTCGGCCGGGTAGACCGGATGTTAACGGCTGTGAATTTGGACAGGCCTAGCCTTCATGAATTCCCGCCACTTCCTCAGCGAACGTTCCGTTGCCTAGCAACCGTGGAACCACTGAGCAGAAGGAAGAAGGAACTTTAAACGATGGAGCTCGAAGTTTTATTTAGATCTTTAATCATTTCCGTGACTGTTGGAGAGCTAATTCAGAGAAAATACTTTCGACAAGCTGAGCCTGAGCAAAGATGTGATAATAGTTTTTAATACTTTCTAAGGGTCTTAATTTGACCAAAACCGATTTATCACCTTTTAAGACATTTAAAGACTCAGCGGATACCTTCTAGTAAACAATTCTCATTTGTAAACAAAAATAAAATTCAAGAGTTTAATGCAGAACTCATTTTATTTAGATATTTCTTTTATATGTACATGTTTAATCTTTATTAACCATTTTTTTCTAGCAAAATAAAAAGCTGTCAAAGTTCTCCCTTCTCTCCTGTGCCCTCTGCTGTTCTGCCTCCCTCTGCAGCCTCATGTCCTCCCTGATCAGCTCCAGAAGCTGGTCATCGCTGTCACCTTCCCCTGATGCCCATTTTCTCCAGAATAGTCTTAACAAACATGTAAGAAAAGAAACAGGAAGAGAAAAGAGGACAACGGGTTATTCCTTTCATGTTTTCGCAGAAAAAAATTAACTGAAACCAGTTTTTAAAATATGAGATGTTATTGTACCTCCATGCCACAGCCGCCGAATACTTTGCTCCGGTGATCATGTAGTCCATCTCCGCCCTAAGCTTAGTAAATTCCCTGGTTTTCTCTTTTGTTCCTAAAATACAAACTTCTATTAAAATCAGGGGGAAAACGTAGCGGGAGAAGTACGACACCGAGCGCCGCCGAACATACGAGCCGAGACCGCAATACAAGCACTTTTACTGTAACATTTCTAACTAAAATAACGTTCATGTATCACAAAAAGTCCTTAACCTAACAGTTTTCAAGTTTATACTGACATTTATATGCACAATCCTCTCCAACAGCTCCCGCTTCACTGTCCGCCATTGTTTTTAAAAGTTTTTCTGCCGGCCGGCCCGCAAGGCATCTTGGGAAATGCTACCTATTGAAGGATACACCGGACCCATCCTTCATTCAGGCGAAAATAAGGCCGGATTCGTCGACCGCATTTGAAGGAGTTTTCGAATTGGGACAGGCCTAGTTGCGGCGCTGTGACGTAACCGGCTGACGTAGGATGCAGACCCTGAATTGAGACACAGCAAGTGTTGCACTACGTGTAGCTGTTTGGTGTTTGGGGCTCGCTAAAACTGATTTAATTTCTCTGTACTAGGATCTCTCTGAGTTATTGTAGCACATAAGCACGCTAAAACACACATTTTCTGTTGTTCCACCTAGCTCTTAGGGAACCATTTGAGTTCGCACACAGTTTATTTGGTGTTGAAAAGTTTGCTCGTCCAGTTAGCTTAGCCTCAGCACGGCTATGGCTACTTCTGTCTCTGCTTCTCCGTCTCCTATCTCTTGCTCTCTGTGTCAGATGTTCAGTTACTCCTCTGCCTCCTTTAGCGATAATGGTACGTGTAATAAATGTAGCATTTTTGTAGCTTTGGAGGCGAGGGTGTCGGAATTGGAGTCCCGGCTCTGCGCTGTTGAAAAACCCTTAAACAGCCGTAGCTATTTAGCTAGCGCGGGGCTAACTAGCTCAGAACCACCCCGTAGCGATCCTCCAGCGGAACCCAAGCAGCCGGGACCTTAGGCCGGCTGGGTAACGGTACGCAAGAAGAACCCAGCCCGTGGGCCACCACCAACCCGTCCACATTTCTAACAGATTGTCCCCGCTCAGTGACGCACCCACTGACAAGCCGACTCTGATCATTGGCAGCTCCATAGTCACAAACGTGGCATTAGAGACTCCAGCAACCATAGTTAAATGTTTACCTGGGGCCAGAGCGGGCGACATTAAATCTTACCTGAAACTGCTGGCTAAGGATGAGTGTAAATACAGTAAGATTGTTATTCACGCTGGTGGTAACGACACCCTGTTACGCCAATCGGAGGTCACTAAAAATAATGTTGCTTTGGTGTGTAAGTTTGCCAAAAAAAATGTCGGACTCCGTAATTTTCTCTGGCCCCCTGCCTGATTGGACCAGTGACGACATGTTTAGCCACATGCTGTCCTTCCACCGCTGGCTGTCTAGGTGGTGTCCTGAAAACAACGTGGGCTACATTGATAATTGGAAAACTCTTTGGGGAAATCCTGGTCTGATGCGAAGAGACGGCATCCATCCCTCTTTGGATGGTGCAGCTCTTCTTTCTAGGAACATGGCCAGTTTTATTAGTCCTCCATGACAACCCAGGGTCCAGACCAGGAAGCAGAGTCGTAGTTTAACCCACCCCTCTGCAGCTTCTGTACTGTTACCCATCCACTACCCCATAGAGACAGTGTCCCGCCCACGGCCAAAATCACACAGATTAAATATCAGGCTTAATAAAGCAAATCATGGAAAACTCTTAAATATTAGAACAAATTCAACTGAGCAGAAAATAACAAAAATTGAATGTGGGTTATTGAACATTAGATCTATTTTTTCTAAGACTTTGTTAGTTATTGACTTGATTTGTGACAGATTTCTTTGCTCTCTCTCTCTCACAGAATCCTGGCTGCAGCAAGAGGACTATGTTAGTTTAAACAAGTCGACTCCTTCTAATTATTTAAATCATCATATTGCTCGAAGTACAAGGCGAGGAGGAGGAGTAGCACCCATTTTTCATTTGGACTTATTAATTAGTCCCTTACCAATTAATAGCTACAGTTCGTTCGAACATCTTGTTCTTAGTTTTCCTAATCCAGATTGCAAAACTGTAAAACCACTCTTGTTTGTAGTTTTATATCATCCACCAGGCCCTTAGCCTGAGTTTTTGGATCAGATCTCTGATTTTTTATCAGATTTGGTGCTAAATACTGATAAGGTCATTATAGTGGGGGATTTTAATATTCATGTGGACATTGAAAATGATAGCCTCAATGTAGCCTTTAGTAATATCTTAGACTCAATTGGTTTTACTCAAAGAATACATAGCTCCACCCACTCCTGCCATCATACATTAGACCTTGTGCTGACTTAAGCTTGGTTTATGCTTGACGCATTCACTTTCCGCTTGGTGATGCGGCTCGCGGATGGAACGCGCTTCACAACTCGCAGTGTTTATGGTTCATGCGGCTTGTCTTTGCGGTGAGCCAATATTCTCCCAAACTGTAAGGGGCAGCATGGAGCTCTACAGCAGGGATTCCTAAAGTGTGGTGCGCGAGGTGAAAAGTGTAATGGCTGCAGAGCTCAGAGAAGTCTGTCATATGTCACCATTAGCGTAGCCAGAAACTCATTTGTGGGTGGGCCTAAGAAAAAGTAAGTGGGCCCAATAAATGTAATTGAAAACAAGTATATTTTTGCGCGTGCGTGCGTGTGTGTGTGTGTCCTCCGCATGTGCCATAGCTTCATAATAACAATGCGCCGAGCTTCAGCACTCTGGCCAGCGAACACCGATATGTTCCGTATTTGATCATTTTTAACGATGTTGGAGAAATCTGAAGGTGGCGAGTCATTCTGGCAGATTGTAATTAACACCTGTCTCATGCAGGTGTTCTGACATTGTAAACCTCACACACAGAACATTGTGGATGTAACAAAATGAATCAAGAAATGATTCCCATTCAGGCTATTAGCAGCGCGCTGAAGATCTGAAGTTCAGAGTGCGTCTGTCAGAGGTCAGACGCGTTCCAGCGGAACCACGGCTC